TCTGGCTCCTACAATCCTTCCTCCCTCTTTTCAACAGGACTCCCGGGACTTGGCCCAGTGCTTGGCTGTGGATCTCTGCATCTGCTTCCATCAGTTACTGGATGAAGGCTCTATAATGACAATTAGGGTAGTCACCAGTCTGATGGCAGGAGAAGGGCAATTCAGGCACACTCTCCATTATTGCTAGGAGTCTTAGCTGGGGTCATCCTTGTGAATTCCTGGGATTTTCCCTGGCACCAGGTTTCTCCATAATCCCATAATGGCCCCCTCTATCAAGTTATCTCTTTTATTGCTCTCCCTCTGCATCCCTCCCCCAACTCAACCATCCTGATCTCTCATGTTCCCATCCCCCATGCCCTTCCCTCTATTCCCTCCCCCGACTCCCAGTTTACCCAGGAGATCTCTCTTTCCCCTTCCCAGGGCAATCCATGCAATCCCTCTTAGGGTTTTCTTGTTACCTAGCTTCTCTGGAGCTGTGGTTTGTAGTCTGGTTATCCTTTGCTTTATATCTAGTATCCACTTATGAGTGAGTACATACCATGTTTGTCTTTCTGAGTCTGGGTTACCTCACTCAGGATGATTTTTTCTAGTTCTATCCATTTGCCTGCAAATTTCATGATGTCATTATTTTTACTGTTGAGTAGTACTCCATTGTGTATATGTACCATATTTTCTTCATCTGTTCTTCAGTTGAGGGGCATCTAGGTTGTTTCCAGGTTCTCCCTATTACAAATAATGTTGTTATAAACATAGTTAATCAAGTGCCCTTGTGGTATGATTGAGCATCCTTTGGATAAATGCCCAAGAGTACTGTCGCTGGGTCTTGAGGTAGATTGATTCCCACTCTGACAAGCAGTAGAGGAGTGTTCCCCTTATAAGAATTGTAATTGAAAAAATATATTTTAATATAATATATTTTGATTGTGGTTTTTCCTCACCCAACTCCACCCAGATCCACCCCCATTCCCTACCTACTAAAATCCAAACCATTTCTTTCTCTCTGTAATTAGTATGCAAACAATTCTAAATGCTATAATGTTAACAAGTTCTAAATAATAGGATCTGATATGTTTGGCAATTATTCTGTTGACATAGTAGGGAGATGGTAGTGTGAAAATATTCAAAGGATGAGACAGGTGATTTAGTAGGTAATAGATGGTGAAAATTAAGGAGACAGCCTCATTTACTTTCTATTGCTGTGATAAACACCATGTTCAAAAGGAAATTGGGGAGGGAACAGTTTATCTCGGTTTACATCTTGTAGTCTATCATCCAGGGACATCATGGTAGAAACTTAAAGCAGAAACCTGGAGGCAGGAACTGATGCAGAGGCCATGGAGGGGTGCTGCTTACTGGATTGCTCCCTATGTCTTGGTCAACCTGCTTTCTTATAGAAGTCAGGATGTCCAGGGATGTCATTGTCCACAGTGGGCTGGGTCTTCCCATACCAAACATTAATCAAAGAAATACTCCTACCGGCCAATTTAATGGAAGCATTTTCTCAATCGAGGTTTCCTCTTCCCAGATAATCCTGGTTTGTGTCATATTGAAAAGATACTAATGAGCATTGACATAGAGTGGACAGATGTTACAGCTGGATAGTTTTTATATCAAAAGGATGCTGTAGCAACTAAATGAGTGGCCCAAAGCCAGCTAGGGCCCTTCTTTTAACCATCACTGACATTTAGAAAGAAAGTTGATGATGAATGTAGTGAAGTGGAACACCTAGGTCTGCGTGTTTGTGTGACCCAGAGCCTGAGTCTTGTCTTTTTGTTTTCTTTCCTGTAAAGTGAACATAAGAATATTGTACTGTGAGATATAAAATGTTTTGCAGTTAGCTGCTGTCTCCAGAAAAGAGGGATTGCTGCTCTGTGGAGAATTCACAATACAACACAACACATAATCCCTCAGGAAAGGGAAATTATTCTTCACCCAGTTGTCTTTACCCACTTCCACAAAACAGGGTGAAGTGTAAATTCCTTAGCCTCCCTTGCAGCTACTTGGCAATGATGTGACACTGTCTAGTCAAATTCAAGAAATCTTCTGGGAGGATTTCCAAAGTAGACTTTGCTTTGTCTGTGAAGCCCCCTGTGCTAAATCACCTAAGCATACACTCCCTTGTTCTGCCTTAAACAAGGCTACAATGCTGGAGCTTCCTGGTTATTTTGCGTAAGAATAAGCCATATTTTGTACATAGAGAAGCAACAAGATGAGAGGATACTGGATCTGTAATGATGCTATTTTGCATTTAAACTAACTGAAGCCTGTGGTGATATTTTGTTTGTGCTCTAACAAATAAATCTTGCCTAGAGATCAGAGTGCAGAGGTAGCCACTAGAGGACGGGTGGTGGCGGCACACAGCTCTGATCCCAGTACTTGGGAGGCAAACAGGAGGAAACAGGAAGTGATAAGGCAGGGTGGAGACAGGAGCTTGGCCCTTTTCAGTCTGAGGATTCCTAGAGGTAAGAAGTCTTTCTAGTGGCTCCTGCTCTGCTTCTTTGATCTTTCAGCTTTCACCCCAATTAAGACCAATCAGGATTCAACTGCCTAACTTGGGGTTTCTTATTATCTGAAAGACCAGAAAATAAACCCAGTTGTAAAGCCTGGTTGTTGGATCCAGAAGCATTTATAGCTTCTGAGGGAAACAACAGCAGGGGAAATGCAAGAGAGAGAGAAGAATTCCCCTTTGAGTTCGAGTCAGGGAAAGCATTTTTAGGACTTTGGCTGGTAGTCCAGAAGAGTTAAGGAATGAGAAAAGGTTATTCTTTGGGGGTTAGAACTCAGAAAAGTGTGTACATTCCGCAGTGAAGATCTGTAAGCAGAGGATCTGGGGGCCCAGAGGTCCTGATGTGTGTAAGTACATCATCTCATCAATGGGACAATTATTCTTCTTTCTTTAGCATGTTTTCATTTGAATTAGCTTTCCTGAGGGGTGGTTTCCTGACTAGGTGACTGATGGGTCAAGCTGGATTAACTCTTAAGGGAAGTGATGATATTTGTATATTTCAGGCATGTCAGAATGTCATGTTTCTACCCACGGCCAAAAGTAGAACTCAGATTTTTATCTTTTGACTAAGACAAATTAGCTTTCTTTTAATGGTCCAAAAACATAGTCCTGTTTATGCAGCATTTTAAATCATAAAGATGTAGCAATTGTGATGCTTCTTTTTCTAATGTTACCAGGGAAACAGGAGGTAGGGTCCAAAGTTGACTATGATGGTAAGATCCATCCATAGTGACCTCCAAGCCTGCTTATGTCGTCATGACAACCTACCTAACACATGCTGAATTAATATATGAAAAAAATGTAAATTTTGGAAAATTTTGGAAAACTTATTCCTCAGTTTAAAATTCTTGACTTATGATTCCCTCATTGGGCTGAGAATGAAAAGTTCTAGTTCTATCTATCCTGGCTATTATCTTTAAAATATTTTATTTTTATTAACATGAACTGTTGATATCATCCATTGTGATTTCAGCATATACATACTACACATGAATCAATGCAGATTCATAAGACTTCACAAAAGAAATAATTACCTTCAACTATTCAACTGCTTTATAACCTAGCCTGGAGTTAGACCCTGAACAAATGCTCAAGAAAATACAATCATCCTTTTTGTATCTGAGAAGATGCTAGTCTGATTTAGTCTGCCAAAAGTTAATGTCGTAAACACGAAAGGAAAATGGTGTGAAAGATGGGGAATGTTGCCAGGTTTTCTTTCTGGGCATTGAAGACAAGATAAGATATCAGTAACCCAAATGAGTGGCATATCTAAAAAATATTAAAATGGAACTGGTCAATCTTCTAGAGCAGTGTTTGCCAATTCTGACAGTATACTAGAACAAATAAAGACATCTTAGACATAACATTTCCCAGGCCACCTCTCAAACCAATAGCATTCAAATTTGTGGAGATGAGACGTGGCCACCAGTATTTCTATGCTATTCCAGTGTTTAGACAAGTGAGACAACACATGTTCTAAAGCTGTACTTCATCATCATCTGGATATTTTGATAAAATGCAGATTGTGGCTTTTAAAAAGCAGATTTTGATCTTGTAAACCAGATCCTGATATTTAGTATCCCCAAGAATTTCCTAAGTGCTGCTTCTGGAGAAAAGGCTATGCATGCAATTTCAAGTTTCTAAAGGGCAGATAATTACATTTTTTTGTCAAATCGTTTTTAAAGGGGATGTGAAAGTGGCATGTACTTGATATCTATGTGACAGGAATAATGCTAGGAACTTCACTTTTATTATCTCATAAAAACAACCTTTGAAGAAGGTAATTATTCATATTTTAGAAAAGAAGAGATTAAATTAAGTGGATAAATCATTGCCTGCTAATTTGTGTTCTATCCTGGACTCAAGCATAGATGTGTCTGACAGAAAGGTTAATGTGCATTGTTGGAAACTCTTCAATGCTAAGTAGAAGTATGTAGAACTGAAACGGTAGACTATGTTTGTAGTTACACTCTTCATAGGTGCACTGCAGGGAAGAACTGATGGGGCTGAATGTCTTTGTACTCTTTCCTCACATAGAGAGCACTTCCAGGATTGGAATATCAAAGGCGTCCTGGGTAAATGAATGAACAGTGAGGAAAGCCAGTGCTAGTGGAAGATAACAAAAGCAAAACACCAATACTCAACAGCTAATTTCAAAAGATCGTTGATTCTGGAAGGAGAAATTGTACTGGCTGGGAGTATTTGGCTCTGATTCCTTGATTCAACTATGAAAATATTTTTAATTAAAGAAGGCTGTGTTCCTGTGCGACTCTTTGGGTTCCGTCTATGTATTTATTTGTATGTTTGGGGGGATAACATACACACATGCCATGTGTGATATGGGGGTCAAAGGACAACTTGAGGGAGTAGGCTCTTTCTCCTTCTACCGTGTGGGATTGAACTCAGATGTCAGGCTTTACAGCAAGAGCTTTTACCCACCAAGGCTTCTTGTTAGTCCTCTTCTGAGCTTTTAATGTGCCTTTTCTCTGACCAGGAAGCTGAAAAATGAACTTTTAGAAGCAAAGCGTAGAAGTGGGAAGACTCACCAAGAGACCAGCAGAGTCTGTGTTCACTGTCACAAAAACCTTGGCCTCATCTTTGACCGGGGAGATCTGTGCCACGCCTGCTCACTCAGGGTGTGCAGTGAGTGTCGAGTCACTGGCCTTGATGGCAGCTGGAAGTGCACTATCTGTGCCAAAGTCGCGTGAGTTTCCCACCTTTTTGTACAAAATCCATATTTGATGATTGACAAGATTTGAGTGGAGAAAGTAAGAAATGAGAAAAAGAATTTTAAATTGAGAGTGGATTTAAAAGCACAACCTGGTTACAGGCTTGACAGGTATGTGTGTGTGTGTGTGTGTGAGAGAGAGAGAGAGAGAGAGAGAGAGAGAGAGAGAGAGAGACAGAGAGAGAGAGAGACAGAGAGAGAGAGACAGAGAGATAGAGACAGAGAAGCAGAGACACACAGAGAGATGCAAAGACAGATATAAAGGCACAGAGACAGATAAACGAGTGTTCAGTGGGACAGAAACAGGTAGAAGCAAATATAAAAGTAGGGAACAGTATAAAAAACAACAACCCCGAAGCATTATAAAATCGGAGACCTAATGGAATCAGTGTCTCCCTGTATTTAAAAGCCAGAAACATATTTTTTTCTATAAGCCCTTCAAGACACCACATGGCTTCTCCAAAGGCATAGACAGAATTCTTTTGGCATTCTTAAACATTTGAGATAACTGACAAGACAAGCGTCAAACATCCTGTGTGCTGTATGCATCAGCTGAGATGGAACAGTTACTTAACATTCTCCAGGTCTAGCTATTCATCAAAAAGACAAAGGGTGGCAGCTTTTCCATTAGGCTTCTGTTTAGATCAGTGGTTCTCAACATTTCTAATGCTGCAACACTTTAACACAGTTCCTCGTGTTGTGGTGACCTCCAACCATAAAATTATTTTCCTTGCTACTTCCTAACTGTAATTTTACTACTGTTTTGAATCATAATGTAGATATCTGTGTTTTCTGATGGTCTTAGGTGAGCCCTGTGAAATAGTCATTTGACCCCAAAGGGGTCATGATCCACAGGTTGAGAATCACTGCACTAGGATCTAGGTGTGAAGGCCCTATATAGGCACCAGCTTGACATCCCCATGTGCAATCAGTGTGGGTGTTGTCTTCAGCAATGGAGCCTTGCTGTCAGTTTTTGGAGAGCAACCTACTGTCTTGGCAACAGCCTGGATTGTTTGGAGATTTCCATGGGACCACTTTGGCCAGTGGTTCTCAACATGGGGGTGGGTCACAACCTTTTAGAGGTCACATTTCAGATATCCTACATATCATATATTTACATTATGATTCATAACAGTAGCAAAATAATTGTATGGTTGGGGATCACCACATGAGGAACTATATTAAAGGGTTACAGCATTAGGAAGGTTGAGAACCACCACCTTTGGCCAACAATTCGATTGGATGTAACTCAGCCCTATTACTGGAAGCTTCGTTTGGAGACAGGAAATGGCCAGTTGGGACTCCATCTCCATCTTAGTTTCTATTGCTGCAGTGAAACACCATGACAAAAGCAAGTTGGGCAAGAAAGGATTTATTGGGCTTAAATTTCCACATTGCAGTCCACTGAAGAAAGTCAGTACAGGAACTTAAACAGGGCAGGAACTTGGAGGCAGGAGCTGATGCAGAGGCCATGGAGGAGTGTTGCTTACTGGCTTGCTCCCCATGGCTTGTTCAGCCTGCTTTCTTGTAGAACCCCAGACTACCAACCCAGGGATGGCACCACCCACAATGAGCTGGGCCCACCCCCATTAATCACTACTTAAGCAGATGCCTTATAAGGTTGCCTACAGCTAGGTCTTATAGAGGCATTTTTTTTTCTATTGAGGCTTCCTCCTCTCAGATGACTTTAGCTTGTACCAAGGTCTGTAAAGAATTGTGTTAGGCTGGGCGGTGGTGGCACACGCCTTTAATCCCAGCACTCAGGAGGCAGAGGCAGGCAGATCTCTGTGAGTTCGAGGCCAATTTGGGCTACAGAGTGAGTTCCAGGACAGGCGCAAAGCTACACAGAGAAACCCTGTCTCAAAACTGCCTCCCCCAAAGAATTGTGTTGGAATTTTGATGGAGATTATGTTAAGTCTGTAGATTGATTTTGGTAGTATGGCCATATTGACTATGTTGATCCTACCAATTCATGAGCATGGGAGATCTTTCCATCTTCTGATATCTTCTTCAATTTCTTTCTTCAACGACTTGAAGGTTTTATCATACAAGCCTTTCATTTGCTTAGTTAGAGTTACACGCAAGATATTTTATATTATTTGAGGCTATTGTGAAGGTGTTGTTTCCCTGATTTCTTTCTCAGCCCATTTGTCATTTGTATATGGGAGGGATACTGATTTTTTTTTTAGTTAACCTTGTATTCTGCCACATTACTGAAGGTGTTTATCAGCTGTAGGAGTTTCTGGTAGAATTTTTGGGGTCACTTATGTATACTATCATATCATCTGCATATAGCAAGACTTTGACTTCTTGCTTTCCAACTTGTATCCCCTTGATCTCCTTCATTCGTCTTATTACTCTAGCTAAGAGTTCAAGTACTATATTGAATAGGTATGGAGAGAGTGGACAACCTTGTCTTGTTCCTGATTTAGTGGAATTGTTTACACAAATCTCCCAGGATTGATGCGAAGTTTCTCAATAACTATTTTTCCAATTCTGATCCAATACTTTTTAGGTTGATTCTTAGTATGTATTCTTTTCCCCTTTATTCCATTTCTGTTCATTCTCTGACATAGCTCAGACCCTCATTTGTTCTGCAAAAGGACCTAAGGCCTAAGACTCAAAACCCCTTTATTACATGGATCCTCAGACTTCAATATAAGATTTTACTTCCATGTATCTAAACTAGTTCTAATTACTAAATCACAAGACCTGTGGCCTTATGTTTTTAGATCAGTTCATTTGCTAGATAATATGGGTGGTAAATAAATGTCTAATTCACTATATCTTTCTTCTGAAAGACAGGAATCAGATTCTCTTTAGAGTATATTAACAAGAAATTAACTCTTAATATGTTGAGTTGAATTTGGAGATTGTCATAGAAACTGGCCTACCCAAAAGGAAAGAATCCTTTCCTGTGCTTCCCACTTAGATCACTTGTGCTACATATTTCACTTATTTATTACATTCCATATTGCGCTTCCTCTGCTATAATATAAGCCCCATAGCCATGAAGACAGGAGATTCAAACAAATCTCTGTTGTTCAGTGATGATGTCCTCATGCCTGAAGGAATGCCTAAAGTAGGTACTCCATGTGTATTTGTTAAATGAATAGGTGGATGGATGAGCAAGATAATGAAATGATAAATGGATGAATGAACGTGTTCTCCTTAAAGCACATCAGGCTGGAATAAGAGGAAGAAAAATAGAACAAATACAATTTTATTCTATGGGGAACATGAAGTTGGGCGGCGGGGGGGGGGGGGAAGAGCCATGGCAAGTATATCTGCCCTTTAAACAGAGTAAATGTCTACCCATCACAGAAAAATACAAGTTCTTGTTAGAAGATACAAGTATAAATATTAAAATATTGAACAAGATGCTTTGCTTATGAAGTATTAATATATTAATAGAAAACTTCTCAATCAATTGCCTTCTTTTTATTGGTGAAACATTAACTTAATCAAGCCAACCACCTATTTGTCTAATTGATCTACTCATCCACACATCTGTCCATCTCTACTACACATTTGGTATTAGCCTATTGGTATAAAAGAGGCTAAAATACAAGGATAGGGAAACATGGAATGCTTTCAATGGCTTCATAGTCTAACATAAAAAATAAGGTTATTGTGTTATTTTTTGCACCCATGAAAGAAACTCTTTGACATTCTAAAGAGAAAATAGCTTTTCATGTGTGATTCTTATACTTCTCCAGCAACAATTTTTCTACAGTTGGTTTTTCTGCAATAAATGTAAATTTACATGAGTATTTACTATATGAAAGTCCATGCTTACTTTTCCAGCTGAAAAATCTATTAGTAATACTTCCCTAATATTTAAGCTACTTATTTGGGTGCTCACTGAGACTAAAGCTTTCAATATTGGTAATATTCTGTTTGCTATTCATGGAGTAGTTTTCAATAAGGAAGCATAAATGATATTTTATTGGCAAAGACTGCCCTTTGTTTGTTATAAGAGGATATTACAGCCCTACTGGGCTGTCTCCATGTTTAATAGACCATTAAATTGAAATTCCCACCCTAACCTCTAAGAGATGAGATGAGTCAGAAGGTGACTCATTCTTGAATCAGTTGGAAGAACAACCTTTATTGTCATTTACCTTGGAGAAGGTTTTATTTCTGAAGCACTGAAATGTTTATAGCAAGGATTGGTAGAAGGAGGCTGCTTCCTTTGTAGGAATCCATTTTTGCCTTTGTTGCCCCTGAACTACATTTAAGATGTTTTCTTTGCCTGTATGTGGTTTGCAGTTTCATTATCATATGTACAGGGATTTCTTTGCATTTTTTCCTGCTTGGAAAAGAAGGAAACTAGACCTCTCCGTATGGACAAAGTGTTTGTGTTTCTCTTCCTCTGTTCTTTCAACCTCCAATGGTAGGAATTCAATAAATATGTACTATGTAGTGAATGAATTTATAAATAAGTTCAACTAGCTTCCTTGTGATTAACAGATGGAAAATAATATCTTAGTGTAGCTTACAAAGCATATCTTATTACAGGTGTCTCCAGTAGTTAATGATAGATAAGCAAACAAAATACTTTGGCTGATATGCCTGTTTGAAACAAGAATATAACTTCTTCACATTTACATAAATTTCCAAGTAAAGAAAACTTACATAAGCCCCAGGAGTTTAATGTTAATTCAAACCACAGGCTAACACTCTCAGATAGTCAACAGTCCAATCAGTGTTCACAGAGAGTAAGTATGGTGCGTTGTAATGTCAGTCAAAACCCATACTTCAGAGTTCAACTTAGAGGAAACTGTCGATTTTAAGCCTTGAGTTGTTTGAATACTACAGTGACATGGTAAATTGATTGAAATCTTATAGCAAGTTCCACATTTCTTTTTTTTTTAATCTTCTCTCATCACTTCTTTATTCTTGCTACTTGGCCCCAGTGGGCACACATGTGGAAGTGTACACACATTCACTTGAAATGCTAAGCATTGCTGACTATTGCTTTTGTTTCCATACATCCTCCCCCCGATCAAAGTCTTGTTGCACCTGACAAACATAAATTCTCTTCCGATGATATTGCCCAATGGAAAGAGTATGAGACTTGGAGTATTAATGTTGTCACACCTTTGTAGCTTTGAGGAAATTGTTTAACCCATGTGAGTTTCCTAGTCTATAAAGTGAGGACTGTCGTTGGTAGGTTACATCTCATAGCAGGGATTGGAGACAGCACATATAAAGTGCCTAGCACATTACTCGGTACCTGGTAGGTACTCAGTATTAATTTCCTGTTCTTCTATTAACTTTCTGTCTACACCCAGAAACTTCAGAGTTCTAAAAATGACAAACTACTCAAGTTCATACCAGAGGTAAACAAATACAGTTATAATAACTATTGTTCTCACACAGATGGCAGGAGGTAGTGACTAACAGCTCTGGAGAAATAGTATTTGTGGTATCTTTTGGCAGCTGTAGGTGTATGGTGAAGACAGTATGGAAGTCTATTTCCTTTAGAATGTAAACTGCCACACATGTACTATCCTCTGCAACACCCCCATAAGCACATACACAAGTAAGAGACAAGACTTTAGCACAGCCCATTGGATGATTTTCAAGTGCTCAGCTATGTCCTGTCATTCCTCCTGTTCTCATGTTACTCTGTAACTTCCCGCTCTGTGCTTTCTCTTTTGACTTCACTTATTTTTCTTGGTTTCAACAGCTCATGTGATTACTTTGGATCCACATGAATGATCTAGGACAGTCTTGGTATTTTAATATCACTTGATTAGTGGCTCAATTCTTGCTGTAAAATTGGATTACTTTAGTACTTACACGAGTTTCTGATTGACAGGAATCTTGAAAGAACGTGTTTAGAAATTAACATTCCACAAATACATGCATCTCTAGCCTAATTAATAATATATAAGCCTATAAATCTCTGGAGATATATCCAGGAATAATCTATTCAAATTTATTCTTTTGGCAGATTATATCTTCCTTAGATTTGATGAATTTTGTAATCTCTACAGTTATGAATTAACCACTCAACAATCTGTGCTTTTCAAGAGGTTAATAGTGCCACCAGAAATGAGTGTGAGGAGCACATGGTATGGCCATATTTTCACTGTCTAGGTTAACAGTTTGATATTTAGTAGAACTGTGGTGAACTTATATCTTCCCTTTGTGTCTTACACTAAGAAGCAGGCTTTCAATTACTATGAGGAATAAAGCTGATATCTTTTCCTGGATGAATTTTATATGTGGGATCCAATTACTGATTTTAAAGCACAGTTTGTTGATAAATCTCGATAAGATGCTCTGGAACTAGAAATCTCTATTTGGATCATAGTTGTTTTTCTTCAGCCACCATATCAGACTTACTAATTCTTGCAAAGTCTCATCCTCATGATACCTTGATTTATATTTTATCATTTCTTATCTTGTCAACTAAAGTGATTTTTTAATTAGCTTGCTAGTGTCTCATTTCTCTATGTATTTACCCAAATGTTATATAACTGAGTGTGAACTTTATTGTAAGTTTCCTATTGCCTCCAGAATGACATTTTGGCTTCTTAGCATGGCATTCAAAGGTTGCTATTACATAGCCCAGGCATACCTCTCAATCTCATTTTCTACTATAATCCTCTAAAATCATTTACCCAATAATACAGGACTATTTCCCTTCCTCATGCTCATGCCCTTATAATCTATTTCTTTGTTTAATTAGAAATAATTTTAGACTACCTAATGGCTTTTATGGTTCTATGTCTTTGTTGTAAGCCTCAAACTGAGCTTTCTAGCAGCATAGCTGCTATGGGTCGAATTCCAGGAAACTTGATTCATTTCACAAATGTTTACAAACTACAGTTCCAAATATTACTGCTAGAAAAGGTAACCCAAAGAACCAAGACTCCTGGCTTCATGTCACTGATGCTAATGAGGTTTGTGGTGAAGACATGAAATGAAGCTAAAATTTTAAAATGATGGAGTAGTCACTCATTCAAGTAAAAATTATAACTTGAAGTATAGATCAGTACCATTTATGTGCAAATTTTACACAATAAAATACCACAATAAATTTCACCATCTGTGTAACAAATGTATGTTAGTATATATAATAAAAACAAGAAACTATTGCTTGAGAGCACAGTCTATAAAAAGACTATTATTATAGTACCATGTGGGGAGGAGTTGAGTTACATAGAGATTGTCTCTCAGAGAGTTAATAGACCAATAGACAGGACTTATAATTCTAAGATAAAGTTTAAAGCTCTATAGGTCATAGAAAAGGTGAAGACATAAAAGAAAATCACAGACATTCCTAGAGGGAAGATAAGAGGTGATTACACATAGCCACTCTAAGATGGATAGGACCTGTTCTAGTTTTCTTTTTACTGCTGTGATAAAACATTGGCCAAAAGCAATTTGAAGAGGAAAGGGTTTATTTGGTCTTCATGTCCCAAGCACAGTTCGTAATTGAGGGAGCTCAGGGTAACAACTCAAGTAGGAGCAGAAGCAGGAACCGTGGGGGAAAGTTCCTTACTGGCTTTCTCTCTATGGCTTGCCCAGCTTGCTTTCTTATAGAACCCAGGTCTTAGTTCCCAAATGTTACACAACCCACAGTGGACTGGGCCCTGCCACGTCAATGATCAATCAAGAAAATGCCCAAGGCTAGTCTGATGGAGGCAGTTCCTCCACTGTAGTTACCTCTTGCCAGGTGACACAGTTTGCCTTGACTTGACAAAAACCAACCAGCACAGGGTCATTCAAGGATTCTTTCCCATCAATTGATTACAACTTTCAATTGATTACAAAATCCAGGGAGACAGTCCTAACAGGACAGTTTGATTTTCTTTCCACATCTGTTAGTTCCCTCTTGCTCAGGAATGCATCCCATCACTGTTCTCCTGGAATATCATGATAGGCTTTGTCCTGTTCTTTACTGTAGCCCAGCGTTTATGTTCCATGAAGGAATCTTCCCAAAACAGGTTCTTACTGATGCTGTTATCTCAAACGGGGCCTCATTTCTTATACTGAAGATCTTTTATCCACACTCAGCACTTTTACCTAAGTGGTTTTGGAAAGTTACCTATGCAAAGCTAAATCACTTAATTTTAGTATCTTCCTTTTGCTCCATGAGCAGGCAGCTGAAGATTATAAGTGGAGAATGGTTTTTTGAAGAGAAGGCAAAGCGTTTCAAGCAAGTCAATGTTCTGGGCACTGATGTTGTTCGACAGTCCATCTTAAGAAGAAGTCCAGGTAACTAACACAATTACTTGTCCCCAAGCCTTTGGTTGGGTTAAATAACTTCCCTATAGTAATGTTGCAGGTGAACACAGTTGGATTTTTTCCCCTCAATCTCATGGGCCATTTCACAACTTGGTAGCTTAAAATCTAAATCTGAAAATCATACAAATGAAGTCAATAGAAACAAACTTCGCACTGATTTTCCACATATCTGACATACTGCAAATTTAAAGGGGCCAGTCATCCTCATCATAGCCTGTTACTTTTCCAGACACATTTCTGGTGTTTTACTAATCATTTAAGAAAGCAACCTAAAGCAGGTGAAAGAAATGATTTCCATTTTGAAAACAATTCTTGATTTTTTTTCACCAAGTTTAATTTCAGATTTTCTTTTAAATGATAGTTTTCAAATTTAATTTTTGGTTCCTAACCAGGCACTGGTATTGTACCCTAAAGTCCCCACCCTCACAAATGGGAACATTGGGAAATGCCAAGGAGAATTTTGGTTGTCATAATGATTAGACTGAGTCAATGGCATTTACTGGACAGGAACCAAGTGTGATAAGCTGATGGGCTTAAAATATACAGGAAAGTTTTAGTCAATGAAAAATTACACTGGCCCAAAATACCAAAGACAACCAGTTTGAGAATGCTTTCCAGTGTACTCAAATTACAATCTAATTGATTCAGGATTGAATAAAGCTTTCTTAAATGCAAATTTCCCATGCATGGTTTATATAATAAAGGTGGAATGGGTACCTTTTGGTCTAGGAAGCTTACAACTGATATTTGTGTCACTTTTGGGTGTGTCACTCACCAAGAAGGGCTCCTAAAGGTGAGTAACATCAGGTCTGATGTTAGAAGAGTCAGGTTGAATGAAAATTATCCAGTCAGCTATAACCTCTGTGTATACTAAACCTCAGTGCTTTCCAGTGTGGGGGCTACATTGCCAGACTTAAGATACATGCACACATGTCTGTCATCCCAGGGAATCTGGCCTCTCATTTCCATGATCTCTGGCTGTGGTGTATTGTGGCACACTTGTGTTCACTACTTCTGGGAGACTGAGGCACAAAGGTTATGTACTTAAAAGCAGTCTGGGATACATAGTGAGTTCCAGACCAGCCTTAGGAACATAGAGAGAACTTGCCTCAAAACAAAACAAAACACCTATAAAAATGCTATATTATAGCCTTAATGCCTATAATCTATGGATTTAGAGATCTCTTGAACTTAGCATTTCATACCTTAAAGATATCTTTATTGCAGTCTTCCTCGGAAAGCTTATCATGCCACACCTTGCCCTAAAGAGTCCTGGTCTTATTTCTTAGTTATCTCTATGGCATTCAGCAAATTAGAAATACCTGTGTATACAAAACTTGGCATTGAACTGTAATTACCAATTATTATAGGCTTTTTGGTCTTGTGGCAACCTAGAAAAATGGGTGCATAAGAGAATGTGTTATCCTTTCTGCTTTTTGTATGTTAATTTATTTTCTATTTTTTCCATGAGGATCTGAAGAAATACAAAGCCAAGAGCAAGCCCACCAAGATGTAGACAAGTCAGATACTTCATCTTCCATCAGGCAGAAAGCCACTCATGATGGACCCAAGAGGAAGGGGTAAGCACAGCCTATCCACTCTAAAATAAATCATCTTTAGTGCTTCATGTCTGATGTGACTTTAGTGAGCCAGAGGAGGTGAGACACTCAACTTGGGTAACATTTTCTCCTACGGAAATGCAGTCTTAAATACTTTCAACCTCAGATTAAAAATTCCCTGGCTGGAGCCAGTCAGTGGTGGTCCATGCTTTTCATCCCAGCACTCAGGAGGCAGAGGCAGGTAGATCTCTGTGATTTTGAGGCCCATTTGGTCTACAGAATGAGTTCCAGGAAAGCCAAGGCTGTTACACAGTGAAACCTAGTCTCAAAAAAAAAAAACCCAAAACAAAACCAAACCACTGGCTGACCTGAATATATAAGAGTTCTTATTTCATTTCATTTGCCTTATTTATTCTTACGTCAAATGATTCCCATTACTTCAGGGAGATCTCTAGTCAGAGTTAGAGCCTTTGCTTCCAAATACCAGTATCCCTCCCTTCTAACCTAACTGCTGGTATATAAAAGCATAGTTACTTGAACATTCTATTCTCTATTTAAAATGCAGCCTTCCTTAAAGAAAAAAAAGTCACATTTGACGGCTTCGACTTAGTTCAGAAGGCAAATGTGCATGTTGAGTACTGCAATGAGCAACGGGAGACAGGTCAGAGAGAAAGGTGCAAGAAGGCACTGGGAATTGGCAGCGAGGTGCCACAAAAGAATAAGAGTTCCCCCCAAATAAAGACTGGATAGCAAGGGTTCTAAGGGTTCAAAGCCTCCTGGTGCTCCTCTCTAGGTAGCACTGCATTGTTCTCTCAGCAGAAACCAACATGAAATGCTGACAGTGACTGAGATTGTAGCTCTAAAAGAAGTATGGACTTTTCTCATTCTTTTCAGTGTTCTGAACTATGGGTGGGAATGAAATTAAAGTGTAATTTAACTCAGACTCTCTTGACGAACCCCCTTGTTCATTAATTAGCAGAAACAAATGCAAAAGATGTTCTAGAATTTCTTAAACTCCTATCCTAGACATTGAATCCTCCCTGTCCTATTGCATTCATGTATTTGTCCGGATTCCCACAATGCCTCGTGCCTGTGACTCTCTTGTCATCTTGCACTCTGACCCGTGCCCCATAGACACACACTGAATGGTAAGCTGTTTTAGTGCTGCCCCAGTGGCTTCTTTACTTTTGTGTTGAAGTATCTAGCATAGTGCCTAACCTTAGAAAGAACCCGTGGATTGACCGAATAAGGATCTCAGAGCCTCCAGATGCTGGTAAGAGCTATAGTTTGCAGACTTTAGTTCAGGCATCACAGTTAGGGCACACAACTGGAAAACAATAACTGACAAACACAATGAGTCACACAGATCCTGACTCATTCAAACCACCAGAGCACCGGGCTGAGTCCTGCTGGCACTCAAAACTGGCAGCTGTGGTTCTGCCTGTAAGGACGGTAATATCCGGTTCGAGAGGAAAACTTAACACCTAAAAGTTACTAAGTTTTAAAGGCTTGTACGAAAATATAAAAGGGCAATACATGCCGTCTGGGCCAGAAATACAGCAATGTGATAATAAGTCACAAGAGATGGCATAGGCAATAAATGACACATATTAAATAAATAGATACTGGCTGCTTTGGGGGGTGCACAAGTCATCAAGACACACATCAGATTACAAGTGGGACTTGACAAGGAGATTGACAGATGGGTGGGGTTCACGTTACCAAAAGGAAGAAGGGGTGATTCTGAGCATCAAAAGCTAGTATTACATCAAGCATCCTTCTCACTCCAAGTGTAATTTTCCAGCAGAATGAAGGTTCTGACATTTTGACAGTGACATTTTGCTAGGGTCCCTTGAAGCAGAGACAACTTAGCAGATTCTATTAAGATTCTGCCAGTACCTTTAGAATCCATTTGTTCACTTAGACATTCTTGAATATAAAATAAGTGAAATGATCATCCTGGTACCATCTTCCTAAAGAATACAGCTGGGATTCTGTTGTTGTCATACTTAATACTTTTATTTATTCTTTGAAAACTCCAAATGTGTGTGCCATGCATTTTGATTTTATCCATCCATACTACTTACCAGCAAATCTCCCTTGGACTCACAAACTCATCTTCTTCTGCACTTCATGTGGTCTTCCAAAATTATTATTATTATTAATAGACCCCCGAGTCCAATTTTTATTAAAGTGTATTTAGAAGCAGCCATGTTTGGTGCACTCAATATCCTGGACTAGGACTTGACCTCCATTTCCTCAAAAGCTATTTTTGTTTTATTTCCAATTAACTACATGACATAGTAATGTGATCAGATTTTGCCCAGCATGTAACCTTTCTTTGTAGAAACTTCTTTACCAGAGAAGAGGTACCATGAAAGATACAAAGGCAGATTCCATTAAAGAATGTATGCACGTGCGCGCGCGCGCTCGCGCACACACACACACACACACGAGAGACAGAGAACACAAAGTGGGTAAATGGGGAAGGGAAGGTGGATTGGTGACAAGTTGGGGGAGTGAATGTAAAGAAGACATATTGTACAAAATTGTCTAAGCACTAATAAATAATTTAAAAGATATGTCATTCCCAGTGAAGCTCGGTGATACAGAGCATGCTTAGTAAGAACATAGCACATTCTTTTGTTCCCCAGAGTTGTTTTGGGTTCCATTAATGAGAAAGGTAGTCACAACCCTTAACTGTGCTGTGCTCTACATTGACACCTTTGTTTTCCCCAGAGACTCCCTTCTGTGCAAGTCAGCTACAGTTCCCTACTCTGAGCATGCTTGCAAAGAGTCCCAGCCCAGAATATGCTTCTCCCTCTCGGCTGCCACTGATGAATTTCCAAACTAGGCAGTCTTTTGCTTAGCAGGGACAGAGCCCTGGTTTATCAACAAGCAGTATGATGGTTGGGGAATTAGAAGCCCTGGCACCCAACAACCCACAACCCCTCAGCCATGGCCTTTTTTTTTGAACAATCATTTATTGGTGAAAGTAATATAAATTATTTTTATTATTCAATTTTGGTGCTGGAGATCAAACTCCGGTCTTTGCTCTTACTAAACATGCTCTGTATCACTGAGACACACTTGAAATTATATTATGTATTATATATAATGTGTATAGGCGCGTTGCCTTCATGAATGTCTATGCACTATGTGTGTGCCTGGTGCCCAGGATTGCCAGAACAGGGTGTCCATATAACTGGAGTTATACACTGTTGTGAGGCACCATGTCGGTGTTGAGAGATTAGCTTAGGTCCTCCAGAAGAACAGTCAGTAGTTTTAACTGCTAGATCATCTCTTCATCACCTCCTTTACTTTTTTTAACCCATCAAGAGCTACTTGTGATATCTAAATATTCTTGGATATGTGGCCTTCCACTTGAGTGTGGTTGACTTACCAGGGGCTACATTCTTAGAGAAACCTGACTCTCCCAATCCCTAGAGATTGGCAATTGCTCCACAGGTAGGGGGAGGGATTTAGTCCCCAATTCTCCTTTCCATACTGGGATTTTTGTCTGGCTTTGGCTTGCACATGTTTGGTTTGTTTGTATGGTTTGTTGTTTTTGTACGCTGTCACAACCACTGTGAGTTCATATGTGCAGCTATCATTCTGTGCCCAGAAGATATTGTTTCCGTGTGGTTGTTCATCATCTCGAGCCCTTACACTCTTCTGTCCCCTCTTCAGAAATGATCCCTGAGCCTTGGGAGGAGTGGTGCAGTATATATGTTCCTTTTCGAGCTAAGCATTCTGCAGCCTCACATTTTCTGTACCTTTCCCAGTTGTGGGTCTGTATTAATCACCATCTACTGCAAATCGAAGGTTCTCCGATGGGAGTGGGCAGATGCATAGTCTGTGGTTACAATGAAAGACTTATCTTACTCTTGAACTCATGTTTATTTTCAGATTTCTTCTGAGCAAGTTCAGATCAGCAACCAGAGGAGAAATCAGAACTCCAAAACCTGAAAGTGGGAGGAGCTATAGCTTGGATTTAGACAGTCAGACTCTTCAGAGTTTCAAGTCAGCCCCTGGTTCAGACAGGTAAGTGCCATACAAACAGAGCAATGGGCAGCCCGGGCATCAGGTGGATAACCTTTCACCCACATAGGGAACCGAAGTAGCTGTAAAGGATTGGCACCCGGAGAATGCCTGACATATACTACAAAAAGGCAAGAAGATGTTTTCCGGTTGTTATAGAAAACATTTCCTATTGACTTACAGCTATTAGAAACATTTGTGTCACGTGAAGGGGTGCAGCCTTATGTTTGGGGAGTTGGGGCTATAAGTTCAAATAGAGATGTACAAGGCAGAGAATTCTTTCATTGATTTCTTGTTATTTTTCTGTTTCACCTTCTAAAACAAAAACCTCTAAGTGTCATATCCATTCCTTGCAGCTTTCAAAAAATATTAATAATTTCATCATGTGTGTTGCCCTAGAGCATTTTTTGTAATTCCATTTATTTCTTGTTGCACTGCCTCTAACTGATTGCCAGATGGGTCAAGTGAGAATCTCCTGTGTATAGTGTCATCACTTGTCAGGAAAAGCAAAGAGAAAAAGAACGGATAGCCAAGAGCACAGTCACTTCTAATCAAAGTTGATTTCCTGGCTTGTTTTGGCATAAGTCAGGCCTTATTTTCATTACTATGAAAGCTAAAAGTAAGAAAAAAATTATCCGCTCTCATGGTACATTGATTTGTCCACATGCTAATTCCATTTTGTTTCTGATTGCTCAGGCTGCAGCAATCCTGTTAGTATTTCTGTTCTTTTCTCTCTAGATTCTACAAGCAGAATTTCATTTTTCTTATAACACCTTGCCCTTTTTCTCATTGTGGTGCTGAGTGTGGAACCCAGGAACTTACATGTTGTAATCTAGTATATAGACCAGAAATATCTATCTATCTATCTATCTATCTATCTATCTATCTATCTATCTATCTATCTATCTATCTATCTATCTATCATCTATCTATCTATCTATCTA